CCCCAAAACCCCAAAACCCCAAAACCCCAAAACCCCTACAGGAAATATTCAATTGAGGTTTAGGAATATTGGGTTATCTAGTCGAAGGAATGACAGCCTGGTTAGCTGAGGTGAAGGCTCTGGATTCAACCGGTTTTTGGAAATTAACATTTTGAGGTGTTTGAAGGGAATTACATTGTTGTTTTGAAGGCGGACAGATTACTTCTATAGAGTTAATTGTAATGAGTACATTCATGTTGGGAGTTGAACGTCTTCCTCTTCAGTACTAGATGTCTGTCTTTTCAGTTCTGAAGTATTAGTCCTTAGGTACACTATAGAAACTATGAGCTCAAATAGCTTACCCTGTATTGTTTCGATATCCTTGATAAATCGAGGAGTAATGTAATTCTTTAAGGAAGAATTATGGTCCTTCTGTTTAACAGGACTTTTATTCTCATTGATATTCTCAAATTGGGCCAGATTTGATATCTCACTTTGCTTATGCAGCATAGACTCTCTAATATACCTTATTGGCAACACTTACAATGGTTTATTTATGCTCAAGACTGGGAGAAGGTTTGACTTTTTTGTGTCCCTTTCAAGAATTCTGAGCTTTCTTGCTGCTCTTTTTCTTTTTAATATTCTTCTTTTGGGCCAGGTATCCCTTGAAACCGGAGCGAATGAGTCTTTTTATACGCTTCTTGAGAGGTATTTGAGGTAGCACTTCTGAGCCTGATGTTGTTAACTCATGGAAGCCAATAGTCTGTTCTGGCATCTTAGTCATCCACTTATTTGAGACATCTTTATTCTTAGTCTTCTTCTTGGCCCTCTGGCACACAGTGTTCATTGACTTTCTTGCTGGGTTTTGGGTGTCTCACTGGGTGTTCCTTCCTAAAGAATTTTAGCCATTGGCTGAATCAAAGAAATTATTTGAAATAAAATGGTGATTTAAGCGTAAAAAAATGGGTTTAGGGAACTTTGGGAGTGAAACCTTGTTTTTAATACAAATTGGTGTAAATAAAAGCCAATGAGCTTGCCTTCCTTCTCAAGGAGGATTTTATGGTCCTGGATGTCTGATAAGCTGTCGTTTGTACATAAAAATGCATCGAAGATAACCTAAAGGTTAATCAAATAGTACATATTCATCACTTTGGATGCTGATCCTTCTGCGAGAGGAGGTCCTGCTGTCTGATTTTCTATATGAATTGTAAGATTGAAGATATGGTGAGAATTTCGTGAGTTCCAAAGTTATTCGAATCTAATTTTCTCTGTTAGTTCAACCCTATTTTGGTTGAGACTGGTTTCTTAGAGAGGTCAACTGGTGGTGCAAACTATCCAATAATGCTTTCAAAGGAGAATTATAGGCATTAATAATGATGTGGCATTTTTGGAAATCAATAAGCTAATCAAAGGTGGTGTATTTCTGGCTATGGGGTTTGGAGAAACTGGAGCATTTATTGTAGTTTTAGAAAGATATTACAAAAAGTACTTATTAAAAAGGAATAAATAGCTAATTTTGAATCTTTTAAATGATATAAGGGAACACTACCAGGGAGTTGAAGATGATTGAATGGATTTCATATTTATTGATCAAAATCTATAATTAATTCTCAACAATTCATGCCTATATTGGGGTTTTGGGGTTTTGGGGTTTTGGGGTTTTGGGG